TCACAACAAAAGACCTGAGTGCCTTACCAGACTGTAACGAACATGCTAACTCCCAGGAGAGCAAGGGGCCTCCTCAGGACTGCCCCAGGGTGGATGCAGAGGCTGGTAATGCAAAGGCCTGGGCTTATCAACCAGTGGGAACAGGAGGAGAGACTCTGGACTACCATGGATAGGAAGCTGGAAATGAGACATTTCCTGCCCCTCCATAGTAAATCCCAGTAAACCTAGGAATTCATAGCTATAGGCCTTCCTTTATAAGTACTTGAATTTGAATTTATGCTGCATGATCTGCATGATCTGGAAACCCCCAAGGTGTGAAGCATACAACAACCACAGCCACCACATGAGCCTGGGCAGGTAATGCCACCAGGATGCCTGACAGAGGAAATGTTAAACAACGCAAGAGGGTCATCTCCTCAATCCAAACTGAAGCAGACTGGTGTAGATTAAGAGCTGCTGAAGATGAGCTCACACACCAAAATTACAAAACTCACACTCACTCATACACAACAAGGCCCCGTAGCAAGCATAGTGAACAGAAAAATAAGATTCTCCAAAAACATCAAATGTAGAAATTGTGGTGGCCAGGAATGGAGGCAGAGAAAGAGGGAGGGAGAAGGAGGTAGGAAGGGAAATAGAGAAAAAGAAATGAGTGTGCATAAGATGATTAATGACAGAAAAGAAGGCACTGAAAAATAAGAATAGAACAAGACTCTATCAAGAGATCAGCATGATTTGAAAAAGAACCAAATGCAATTTTCATAAATAAAATCAAAAAGAAAACTTCGAAAATGGGCCAAACTGCAGGTTAGACACCACAGTGTCTAAGACAACTAATTATCTAAAGATAATTAATACACAGGAGGGTAGACCTGTGGCTGACTTCTCACAAGCAATGACAGAAGCTTCTAAAAGAAAATAATTTTCATCCTGGAATTCTATACTCAGATAAAACCATTCTTCAAGATAAAAAGCAAAATAAATATATTTTCAGGCCCCCCAAAAATCTGACTTTACTGCTAACTGACCCTTACTGATAGAACTAGTAAAGGAGGTACTTCAGGAAGAAAGAAACTGATCTCAGTATGAATGAGTGAAACATAAGAAGTGACCAGTAAAGACACTGGAAAGCACTGGACGGTCCAAGCAGGCACTGACTACACTGACTACTAACACGAAAAGACAGGAGAGTGCGAGTTACAGAGGTAAAGCATCCTAAATTCCTTTGGTTGTTAAGAGACATCCATTAATTTGGGACTTGGGTAAGTCAGTTATGCATACTATAATGCAGTAGTGAGAATAGTATAGTTTCCAAACGATCCCTATCATAATCATTCTCTGATCTTGTGTGACAGTGAGGATGTAATTTTCCTCTGTTAATGAGATACCAATAGAGTGGGATCCTAATCACCCTAACTTCTTTTGAAGATCAAGTTGCTAATTCCCAAACTCTGCCCCTCACCCCCCTCCAGTCCTCCAGCATCTCCAGGGAAGCCATCCAGAGACACACCTCTGCAGGACCCCCTTTCTGGACACACAGCCCACCCCCTACACTCCCACCCCCCACCGCCCACCCCTCACCTCATCACTTGCTCTGAAGACGATCTTGAAAGTCCGACTGGGGTTCCGTTCCAGTTCAGCCTCAGCCACTCCCTAAACCAATCAAGAAAGCAAAACAAAGGACACCTCAGAAATCCAGGAAACCGTAACCCCTCCCCCGTCTGACTGAAAGCAAGGAGCCTCCAGACTCTGTCCCCATCCAGCCCAAGTTCCACTAGAATGGCATTTATTTGAATTTTCACATTGAAACACGTTTGAAAAAAAGGTTGAAATAAAATACAACATGCTGAAGTGGTCCCCCAGAAGGTGGGTTTATGAATGCTGCTTTCTTTTGTTTTTCAAAATTCCTATAATGAGAATGTACCACTTGTAATAGTCCCTTCAAGAATGGGGGAGGGGCTGGTATAGGAACGGGTCCGGGGCTGAAGGGCTCCCAGGATTGTGAGGAGCCGAGTGGAAAAGCCAGAAGCTGCCCCTTTCCTCGCATCTCATTTTGCTGTAGTAACTTCAAGACCAACTCCTTTGATTTAGATATGAATTATTACAGATACTCAGACTGCCAAGGATTGTTCTCCTCAGGACAGGGCAGTAGGATTTCTGTTGTCAAAGAGCTGGGACACACATCCTTCATGGTGACTAACTGCCAGTTCCTTCTGCGTCACAGGAGTGTCATTCCATTTAATTGCTTAATCTACACATGGCTCTCTGGCTGATTCCACAGACACCAGGCCCTTTCTCTGGCAAACTGGGCTATGAGATGCCAACATAAAACACAAGGGCACATTTCCTAATGGTTGAGAGCCCTTGGACTTAAAAGCTGTCCCTGAGGCAGAGATCTATCAGGAGCAACCGTAGTTAAGCCAAGTAATAAAAGCCTTTTGCAACACAGTCCCTAAGGGACCAGTTATGGGTGGGCACTGAGCAAGTGTGGCTATGACAACTGGCCTTTCTCTCCCCCTTTCCAACCACTCACCTGAATGCCCGAGGCACCAGCTGACCTGGACTGCAGGATACTTTCTGATCTGCTTGCCCACCTCCTGGTTTAACCTGGACGAAGAGCGCCTACTTCCCTAGGTCTGGCCTTCGAAGCCAGTCCCAAACACCGCCTTCTCTGCGAAGTCCCACCTTCCCCCACAACGACAAACAATACTACTCTTCTCAGATCCTGCAGAGCCTTGAGCGTCTCTTCTGGGACCACTTTGAGGGCAAGGACTCAATTGTTCTTGGCAGCCTCTGTGGCTGGTCCTGGACAGAGAAGGGGCTGAACACACATATGTTCCTGCCTCTCCTTTCAATGTTCCCAGAGAGGAGGATCCTAAAGCCCCATCCACAAGGCGCTCCAGTGACCTGACCCAAGGTCCTCGCACACTTTGAGAGGCATCTTTTCTTGTTCTACACATCGCTCCTCATGAGAGCTCTGGATCTGTGCGATGGTAGCACGAAAGGAAAGAACACATTTATCATCCGGCGGCGCTAGATCTGTGGTTGGAGATTTTCTGATGAAAGCCATGTCAGCGTTTTAATTACAACACCCTCCCATTCGTAAGATTCAATTATAGTGCAGAATCAGTCCTGGCCTTCTGCAACATGATAAATGCCAAGGCAAGAAATAGCCACAGGAGCAAATGCATTGCAAGTGATCGATGAGAGCCCTGGGCAGCCTGCGTGTTGCTGTCGGTCATTATTCTTATTTACTGAGAGTAGCCCTCGTTTATAAACAGCTGCTGTGCATGCACTCAGGATTGCATTTCAGTGTTTGCAGAGACCTGCAAAGGTCTGGACAGGGCTTTGCCCTCAAATGCTTCTTAAAAGAGGAAATGGATATCAAAAGGATCAATAAAAAATCAAAGACAGCAAAAAGGTAAATAAATCTGCCCACCCACATAGATTACATCAGATCAACAGAGAGAATGGGATAAAGGCCAGGGCCAGAAAGGAGAGAAGACGATGTTTGTTCTCTGGTTCTGTGCCCAGCTGATGCCACCTGACTCTCTTTAATCTACAAAAGATAAGACTATATTTTTAAGTCCCACTGACCAGTGACAAATTTTCTGCCTGTCCAGCCGGACCACGGCTCCTCATTTTGTGTTCCTGGCTTTAGAATCTAACAAGCCCCAGCACTGATGCTTATTAGTTGCGTGATTTACTCCTCCAGAGCCTCGGTTTCCTCATCTGTAACATGAGGGTTTTGTAAGGATTAAATGAGATCATGCCTGTTTCTTACAATGCCTGACACACAGAAGGCATGACAGTAAATGGTCATTATTATCAGCATTACTCTTATCTCCATTATTAACGTCATCAGATTGCATCAGACTAGTCTGCTCCCCTCACCAGCCTGTGAGTTCTTATGGATGCACACCGCATCCCGTTCATATTCCTACTGTCGTACGAGGTAACAGTAAGTCCCCAACAAAGCCTAGATGGATGGACAGGAGAGACAGTGTTTGCAGAGACCTGCAAAGGTCTGGACAGGGCTTTGCCCTCAAATGCTTCTTAAAAGAGGAAATGGATATCAAAAGGATCAATAAAAAATCAAAGACAGCAAAAAGGTAAATAAATCTGCCCACCCACATAGATTACATCAGATCAACAGAGAGAATGGGATAAAGGCCAGGGCCAGAAAGGAGAGAAGACGATGTTTGTTCTCTGGTTCTGTGCCCAGCTGATGCCACCTGACTCTCTTTAATCTACAAAAGATAAGACTATATTTTTAAGTCCCACTGACCAGTGACAAATTTTCTGCCTGTCCAGCCGGACCACGGCTCCTCATTTTGTGTTCCTGGCTTTAGAATCTAACAAGCCCCAGCACTGATGCTTATTAGTTGCGTGATTTACTCCTCCAGAGCCTCGGTTTCCTCATCTGTAACATGAGGGTTTTGTAAGGATTAAATGAGATCATGCCTGTTTCTTACAATGCCTGACACACAGAAGGCATGACAGTAAATGGTCATTATTATCAGCATTACTCTTATCTCCATTATTAACGTCATCAGATTGCATCAGACTAGTCTGCTCCCCTCACCAGCCTGTGAGTTCTTATGGATGCACACCGCATCCCGTTCATATTCCTACTGTCGTACGAGGTAACAGTAAGTCCCCAACATAGCCTAGATGGATGGACAGGAGAGAGAGAGGAAGAGAGAAAGGATGGAAGGAAGGAATATGAGATAAAGACTTTGGTGGGCGTGTCTTCTAAAGGACCACACGGTCTGCGGTTGTACTTTCTTCCCTCTACCAAAGGCTCATTGTTCAGCAAACAAGCTAATTCACCTCCAGAAGACGAGATGAGTAGGGACCTACAAAACACAGTCCAGTGAACAAATCTGCTGAACTGTGACCCAAAAGCTGTCACTGGGGGCAGGCAAACGAAAGACAGCTCTAGTTTCTAAAATAAACTCTCAGAATAAAGCCTTTGGAATTCCATGACTCCTGGAGCTTTGTCTCAAGGGGTTCTCTGAGGTTGCTTAGGAATAAAGAGTCCCTAAGAGCCAACTTAGAATCTGTGATTATTCCAGGAGGGGCCTCTCTTACTGTCCCCGCCTTGTCCCCTCCACACCCTGCTTTATTTTAAACTTGAAATCACGGAAACCCACAGTGAGATGGAAACTGCTGGTTCTCATTTTCTGCGGTTCCCATGGCTTCCAGATCAGTGTTACTGAGACACTCTTCCATCTGTCTGATAAACACGACCCTCTGGACAGCTTGTCACTCCTCAACGTGATCATGAGAATTAACTTTAAATGCCAACAGAGGTAAATACAGTTTTTGATGAAATACGCTTTTTATTCACACCCCGGGGTCATCACACCCCAATGTGGTGGGTTGTATAGTGCCTACCCCCTAAAGATATGCCCAAGTCCTAACCCCAACTCCTGTAATGTGACCTTATCTGAAACTACGGTCTTTGTGGATGTCACTAAGTTAAGGAACTCAAGATGAGATCACCTTGGATTTAGGGTGGGACCTAAGTCCAATGACTTGTGTTCTCCTAAGAGAAGAAAAAGGGGATTTGAGACAGAGAGAGGCACAGAGGAAAAGCCACATGATACAGACACAGAGACTGGAGTGACACGCCACAGCCAGGAGCACCGAGGACTGCTGGGGCCAGCAGAATCAGGAGGGAGGCATGGAACAGATGACCCCCAAGAAGGAACCAACCCTGTCAACACCTTGGTTTTGGGCTTCTGGCCTCCAGAACGTCAAGAGAATAGGTTTCTGTTGTTTTAAGCCACCAAGTGTGTGGTTAATTTGGTATGGCAACCACTGGATACTAACGCAGCTCCTCAGGGAGTATCTTGATTTGGGAGGGTGGGGAGTGGGTTAGAAGGAAGACCCCAGGGCTCAGCAACAGGGTGGCTGGTGTGCTGGCTGCAGGTACGGGCCCGGGACCCACAGCACCTGGGGCATCTCCTAACCACCCCCCCTCCAATTTACTCCCTGTGTACACAGCACCTCACTGTCAGGAGCCCCAGAATGGGAGGACGTGATCAAGAAGACCTAGTATTGTCTGGACTTTCCCCTTGTGGTGCTGGCAGGGGTGGCCAGCAAGGTGCCCCCAGTGGGGAGGACCACAGGACAGCCGCCTCCACACAGGGATACCTTTCCTCCTCACCCTCGGTAGGTTTCTCCTCCGTAACCTTCTCTTTAGTTCTTTCCACGGTGTAGAATAGCCTGCCCGAGAAGATGCACTTAATGTGCCCATAGTTCACTGTGGAGACCCTGGAGACAGCCGCTTAAATCAAACTGCAGCCTGCACAGGGCGCGAGCTCAGCCAGGATCCAGAGGGTGCGCCTGGGAGACAGCATGGAAGCTTCCTGCTGATTTTGGGGGGCCAGCAGCTCTGCTCACGTTCCCTGGCCGCCTGATAACCGCTCCTCAGATTCCTCTGAGACTCGGGGGCCCAGTTCTTTAAAATGGGCCAGCAGACATAGCCAGGGTGGTTGTCCCTGTGGTGGGAGATGCTGGTGGATGGAGGCCTCTGAAATCTGGGTAGAAAGAGGACGCTGTTCACCCGCGACTCTGTTTGGCCAACTGGACAAGAGCGAGACGCAGCGTCAAGACTCAGAGGGGCTCTGGAAGGCCTAAGGCACTCGGGTGCCCCTGCCACGGGCTGAGGTGCCAGCTCCTGCTCTTTGCAACAGCACTGGCTGGGCAGCCTGTGCTACACATGAAGACTCTCAGCCCGAGAGGCAGGAACTGTCACGCTCAAGGTCAGGGGGATTATAAACAGCAAAACAGGACCCGAGAACGCTGGACTGCAAACTCCTCAGTATTTGGTTCTTTTCACCAGAATGTAACACAACCAATTTCAGAAAATGAAAATAAAATGCCCAGGGTTTCTCCCATGGAAGGCACAAAAGAGAAGATCATGATAGGTAAATCCTGGTAAGAGAGTACACGGCAGCACTTTCTTTCAAAATGTGTTATTCAGCTGTGAAAAGCGACCGAGATAATGTCCCTCAACAGAGGACGGGTGAAATAAATCACGGCCCATCTCTATCATAAAACACCATGTAGCCCTTAAAAAGAATGAGAT